TGGGTTCAAGCGATTCTCCCACCTCAGCCTCCCCAGCAGTTGGGATTACAGGCATATGCCACCACGCCTGGCTTTTTGTATTTTTTGGTAGCCAAATTGGCTAGGCTGGTCTCAAACACCTGACTTCAGGCCCGCCTCGACCTCAGGACCTTACAAGCATAACCCACCGCACCCGGCCTCAGAGAGTTCTTTATAGTGTGATAACAGACTAATACAGGAGCTCAGAGGAAAGAACTCACTTACATTAGAAAAGTAATCTTTTACATAAGCAGGATATGAATCTAAAAAAGAAAAAAACCTTCACAGAAAAGGCAGACAAGTGTATCTATTCCTTGATTACTGTGGGAAGTGGGGGGAACACATTTCTACAGGTGCCAAATGGAAGTAGTAAAGTGTGAATGAGGTGTCTGGGAGACAACTTGGCCAACTGATTTAGACACAGAGCTTGAGGTGAAATGGCAGATGGCAAGGCTAAGAAAGTTGGAGTGAGAATGTACAAGACCTGAAATGCCAAGCCATAATTTGCAGGATGAACTCAAAGGAAAAAAATTATTTCAGATAAACTGTAGATGAAGTAACAATGAAGTACTGGGCTAAGCAGATGGCAGAGATGGAAGAAACAGATTTGAGACCCATTAAAAAGAATGAATCTACAACATTTGGTAGCTTATGGACCATGGGTGATGGTAGACAGGAAACGGTCAAAGATGATTCTAAAGTTTCAAGGTTGAAACTAGGTAGAAGATGTGAGGCAGATCTAAGTTTAGAAAGGGTCAGGAAGGAAAGAAGAGCTTGTTTTCAGATGAGATAATCTGGGATGAGAGATATACAATATGGCAATTTTTAGCAGGCAAGTGGGATTATAGCTTAGACTCAAACAGAATCAATGCAGAAATCAATAAAGTGTTTATGAGTGGACAAAAAAGGTGTGGAGTCAGGGAGCGGAGGTCTTGGCCTGAATCAAGGGGAGTGGCCACATTTAGTGTGGGGAAGAACAAGAAGGGCCAGGGAAGAAGACAAAGAAGGCAAAACCAGAACAATGACATGGTACAAGAGTTTCAGGGGAAAGAGTGGGCTTAACATTATCAGATGTTGAAGGGACAAGGGTGAAATCTGAGAGGAGGCCTTTGAAATCAGCTATAGATTTTCACTGTGCAACAGGTCTGATTTCAGATGTGCAGCAAGTATGAAATACACATGGACTTCAAAGACAACACAAAAGAGAAAAAAGGAATATAAAATATCTCAACATTTCTTAATATTCACTACATATTAAAATAATAATCCTTCACATACTTAGGTTAAATAAAATACACCCTTCAAATTAATTTCATTTATTCCTTTTTACTGTGATCACTAAAAAATTTAAAATTATGCATATGGCTCACATTCGAGGCTCACATTATATTTCTTTTTTTTGTGGTTTATTTTTGTTTTGCTTTTCAACTAAATACTCCACTTAAAAAGATGATCACACTGGATTTTTTTTTAAAGTTTTTACCGCTAATAAGACACATTTTAAATATTAGTACATAGAAAGGCTACAAATAAAAGGATAAAAAATACACTATGCAATACTAAAAAGGCAGCTTAACTAATAAAGTTTAATATCTAATTTAGACAGCAAAAACTGACATAAAACTCAAGACGAGGGCATGAAATCTTGAATAATAAAATTACATTATTAAGATTTGGAATGTATCATAGTAACTGATGCCTAGGGTGAATTGTTTCTTTCTCTCTTTCTTACTTTAGTCAGAGATTTCAGTGCCTAAGAGGAATGAGTAATATTGAATGCATAGACAGAGGAGGAAGAGAAGTCCACAAATGATTGTGGGAAGGGGGAAACAGGAATAAAAGGAATACAGCAAAACCAACAGAAACCCATGAAAGTTCAGAGATTCAAAGAGAAAGACTAAGATAAGCACCAGGAAATAATCCACCGAAGGTAGAATTAGAAACCAAACCTCAGTGGGTTTGACTGGGGAAGGTGAAGGAGTAGTAATTGTAGCCCATTCTTTTAAGAAGTCTGGCTATTAAAGGAAGGATATAAGAGTAGTGACTACAGGAAGATACAGGATTAAGAAGTAGCTTTCCTTTCTGAAAACGAGAGTAATTTAAGCATATTTTTATCCTAAGAGAAAAGAACCAGGTGACAGGGAAAAGACCCAGAAAAGAGACAGAACATTGATAAACAGGGTCTCTGAAGAAGCTGCAGCTTTGGATAGGAAGAGGACTTATTTCTTTGATATGCGAAGAGATGCAAAGTGATTAAGGTGAAGTTTGTATAAGTAGATGAAGCTGTGGCCTGATAACCTGGTGGGAGGAGGGGGAAATAATTCATTTTTATTGTATTTTACAAAAGCATCAGTCTGTGACAGATTGGGGAAAACAATAACCAGTCCTATACCACGATTAAGTGAGAAGCATTACGCTAGACCATCAAGGCTAGAGCATGCCAAAAAAGGTGGTGTAGGAGTGCAGACAAGAAAAAAGTCAAGGTAGACTAAGAACTATGATGCTATGGTTAGTTTGCCTGTTTAAGAAGAGAGGGTTGCATGAGTAGATGTTGGAATTCGGGATAAAGAGGTAATAGTGATGTGAACCACGTGCCAAAGTCTCAAGGAAAGTGGAAGAAGGGCCAGAAAACAGGCAGTGACAGCAAGGAGAGCAGCAAGAGGGTGGTACTGACAGTGATTATTAATCTTGATCAAGTAGAGACAATTTGCTACAAAGAACAGAAAATTAGGTCCCATTCCTAGTGAGCAGATTCTGATTTTACTAGAAAGAATATCTCATCCAGCCAGAAACCACATACTCTGGCTGAGATCACTGGATTACAGAAATCTTTCCCCAACTGCAAGTTTCCATCATGCAAAATTTTAGCACACATACCTTTTCAGCAACTGTGCGCATTTCAGTTCCAGTATATGCAAATTTGGAGTCACTCCTACTGGGAATAAATTAGAAAAAAAAAAAAAAGGAAGTGGGGTTTGGAATATAAAAAGGGATTAAAGCAAAATAACAGGATTAACTGTTTTCGCAATGAAATCTTAGCAGAGACCAAAGAAGAGGAGGGAAACTGAATTGAGACTAGAGCTGCACTCTATATCTGTTAGAAGCAATCTGGGACACATGCACAAGTGGCTGAGTATATAAAGTTATCATAGACAAAGCTAAATTCCTGGAATCCTGGGAATTAAGGAGGTGGGCTTGAGAAGTACACTATGTTATGATGTGAAGTTTAAATTAAAATGTTACCAAAAGGTTTCACCACGTCAAGCATTGAAGCTACTGGGGATCTCTGAGATCACTGAGGTCCATCAGGAGGAAAGGCAATGTAACTGTCAATTTACGTGAAGGAATGGATCAACAGGGGGAAATGCCTCTAAACGTATATGCTCTCTGTCACAAAGAAAATTCCTGATATCTCACTGGCATTTAAGGGGAGACAGAACATGAAATACACTGAGCAAGGCCAGGCGAGGTGGCTCACGCCTGTAATCCCAGCACTTTGGGAGGTCGAGGTGGGCAGATTGCTTGAGCCCAGGAGTTCGAGGCCAGCCTGGTCAACATGGTGAAACCCCGTCTGTACAAAAAAAAAAAAAAAAAAAAGCCGGGTGTGGTGGCGGGCACCTGTAATCTCAGTTATTCGAGAGGCTGAGGCATGAGAATCGCCTGAACCTGGGAGGCAGAGGTTGCAGTGAGCCGAGATCACGCCATTGCACTCCAGCCTGGGCGACAGAGCGAGACCCTGTCTCATCCCTAAAACCCAACAATTATGATAATGCTTATTAAGATGTTTATCCCATATCTCAACTCAATAGGAGGTAAGGCAGAAACCAAAGTTCAAGGTTGGGGTGGAACTCAAATTGCATCCAGAGAGCCCCGGAGCGATAATGGTAATTAATTTAAGACACGATCCGGACACAATACTGTCAAAGTCGCCATAATTTTGAGTTAACAATGACTTAGAGATTATAAGATATGAGTAAACAGATACGGTCTTACCTTGGATCATCGTTCAACTAGAGTGGGAAAAAGCAGAAAACATTATTGATCACATTACGTTTGTTTGACGTATATATATGCAGATTATATGACAATTAGGTCATGTGTTCATGCACACGGTATGAAAGACTGGAGAATTACTTTAGACCCGTAAACAGCTAAACTGTATTTCCTCATCCTCTTTGGCCCCTCCTCAACACAAATGCAGCGGAAACTTTTGCTTCCTTCAAGCCCCGCACCTTCTGTTAGGCTCTTCGATACCCTTCAAATGCTTTGGTTGTTATCTCTGCTCCCTAGACAGAAGACTAGGCGAGGCAAGGGGCTCTAACCGTGGTCAGCTGCTGCATCGTAATACCCGGACGTCCTTAATATACTCCAGTGTCTTTCTGACCTGCCTTGCAGTTTTGGTCAACGGGGCGAAAAGCGCAGATCTAAAGAGAAGCCCCAGGCTACAGGAGAAAGGGCAAGGCTCCCGGGGCCTGTACATACCGCCGGGGACTCGCAGGAGAGACTAAACAAGTGTCAGGCGGCCAGAAGAAACGGGGATCCCCGCGACAGAGCTATGTAAAGGGTGTCCAGGGATCTAAATCGAGTATGCCTGTGGCCTCCGCAGCCCTGGGAGCTGCTGGCACCCACCGCTGGGACACACTGGGACTGCTTAGCAGGGTTCCGGACAGGTTAACAGAGCTACTCACCTCCCCTATGCACAGCCCCATCACTTCCTCCTTCTCTGTGCTCAGAGCGTGGTTGAGACAAACGAGGAAAGCGTCAGACTCGAGATGAACCGCCTGCACCGCCTGCACCACCTGCACCGCCATCTTGGCCCGACCCTTCTCACGTCCGCCTCGGGCCCACTTGGTCCTGACCAACCGGGTGCTGCGGCGCAGCCTCCCCAGCGCCCCGCGCTCTGCGCTCCGCCCAGGCCTGGCCTTCGGCGCGCGGGTTCCTCGGGGGCGGGGCTTAGGGAGCGGGCGGGGCTGTGGGGGCGGGGCTGTGGGGGCGAGGAGGGGGTAGCGGGCGCGAGGCTGGCGCGCGGGGGCGGGCCTTGGCGCGCGGGGGCGGGGCCCGCCCAGCAGCACCTGGGAAACGCCCGCGGGGTTTGGGGCAGGCGTGGCCGTCGGGGCGGAGGGCGGTGGCCGGCCGCGGTCCGGGCGTCAGGCCGGGCGGCGGGGGCGGCAGGGAGGCGGCGCTCTGGGGCCGCAGGCGGACGTACTCTGTGAGCCGCGCCCGGGCGCCTGGGCAGGCGCCTCCCGAGTACCGGCGCCCATTTTGCCCGCCCGCTAAGGAGACCCGTGCGCGGCCTACACGCTTGGGGGACAGCCCTTTAAGACGACATCTCCGAGAACGCCGGCCTCTTGAGCCAGGGGGACGCTCTTTTGAAAGTCAGTCCCAAAACAGTTAAGGTTTTATTTTATTTTGTTTTATTTCCAAGTCACAGCCCCCGAATCTCGTACAACTCTCCCTGGACCACTTCCGGTTGCCGGCCCGCGCCTCATAACTTCGGTTCGAGTGACCTCGGCCCGGGATGCCCCTCGGCTCACCCCAGGCTCACGTCGCGATCCTGGCTTGAGTGGCCCAGGGTGGGAGACCTGGAAGTTTTAGCCTAGCTGTTCTCAAGGCGGATTAATTAGCCCAAGAAACATTATATTCATGTGAGTAACCTTTTGCAGAAACAGTGTTATACTGTATCTGAAAAAGTATCACTCTTAAGCTTGGCTGCTGCTACTTTCTACAAAGGCTTTTAGGTAGCTATTTGTTGGATACAGGGAAGGGGAAATGGAGAACTTCAGTTTTTATTCAAGTTCGGATGTTTCACATTAGGTATCCAGAATGCAAGTTTCCTCGGGTCTCCTTGTCTCGATGATATCAGACAGTGAAAATATATGTAAAAGTAATTTTATTTCGAGGTTTGTCAAACGTGCCAAGGATAAAAGTACAGATCTTCCAACTCACAAGTCTAGGAATCACACGTGGATTTTGGAAGCGATTCTAAATCAAAGCACAATATATGCCGTGCCGCCTCCACAGCCCGTCCGTGTTCGTGTCTTTGATTTGGTTTTCTACTTTGTGTAGTTTTGAAGCCAGGCAGGTATGGCAGTACTGGAAAGGGAACATTCCCAAGGTGCTACTTCAAGTGTTGATGCTTTGCTCTTTTCTCCCAAGTCAGTTCCAACCCAAGTCTCCCCACACATAGGGTCCCCATCCAGTGCAACGATCTGTAATGTGCACGCCAGCAGCCTCCGTTTTTACCTAACGATCTGTAAGGATCACATGGCACATCTTTCTATAATTAATTTGATCATGATGAAGGTTGGAAAATTTTCGTGTGCAGTTACATTGGACCTGTCTAAATTTTCTCTTGTTTCAATTTTATATCATATGTTATTTTCAGTTACTGTTTGTGGCTAGTATGCCCCGTCCTGATGGAGCAGGAACGGCTGTTCTTATTATTATGATATTAATATTTGGTGATGGGATATAGTGCCTTTAGGCACTTTCAAGAAGAAAAATACCTTTTGTTTGTTATCGGCGGTAGTCAATCTTATATTCCAGAATGAGGTTCACTAACTTTTCTAATGCTCATGGCTGCCTTTTACAGCTCCAGGCATTTAATTGGAGTAGACCAAAATTATTAACATTTATGGCAAGCTTATTATATGCTACATACTAAGCATTTATATGCCTGGTACATGTAAACTGCCCCAGTTGAAGTCAAGCTCAACAACTTCCCCACTGTGTGACCTTGAGCAAGTTACCTAACTTCTCTGTGCCTTACTTTTCCTCACCTTTAAGTGGGGATGATAATAATACTGCCCACCTCATAGCGCCCTATGAAGATTGTGAAAATTAAATGAGTCAATATATGTAAACATATAGGAATGCTAAATAAAGACTATCGTGATTAATATGTTCTTTAATTCTCATTTTACACCTCAGGAAACTGAGGTGGAGAGACGTTAACTTGTCCAAGGTCACAAAACTAGTAAGTGACAGACTCAGGACTCGTACACAGGCCTGGGCCTGTGTTCTTGGTAATTTCACTCATTGTAATTGGACGAGTTTATTAATTGACTTCTAATAAAATAAGCGTATTCAACTGATCAATGTTTAAAAACTGTTCATCAACCTGGCAATTAAAGCAAACTATACTTATTTTAAAAAGACACAAAAGAATTTATTCTGTAAAGGAAAAATGATAGTTTTACTTAGATTACTACCTAAGAGCCCTTCTATCTTGTATGTCACCCATTTAAAACCTAATTTACAAAATGCCTTACTAAGAAATTGTCTGTCTGGGCCAGTGTGCTCTCTGGCCCTGAAATCAAGGTGACCCTCATGGGGACAATCTCTTCTAGTGGATGATAAAGTTATGCAGTTATCTAAACATTTTTGGAACTCATTTGTATTTGCAGCTGGCAGTATTCCTTGAGTTGAGTTGCACAAGTTTATATTCCATGTATTGTATTGCACCTTGTACCTAAGTCTATGTTGAGGTTTTAAAAGATTCGTCTTAGTTCGAGAAGTCCTGAATTTTGTAAACAAGTATCATGTGCAAATAAAATGTTCTCTAGTCAAATAAATTTGGGAAATGTTAACATAAAGTTTCTTTACTGCATAACTTGCCAGAACAGTTACTACACTAATGTGCTTTATGACTCTCCAAGATTCCCAAACTTATTTGACCAAGGAAAATGTTGGGAGCAAGTTTTCTAAGAATCACATTTTTCCACTCATAAAACCTGTGATTTTATAGGCTTTGATCTGAATCCCTCTCCCTCAGCCTTTGCATTTCTGTGCTGAGGATTTTGTTCGTGCTCATATGGTGACTTCTCTGTCCCTTGGTCACTGCAGTTGTCTTTCTCTGGGCCTGCATGCCCTCTGAATGGTAGCACACACAAATCCAGGATACTGTGCTGAGAGGTGGTTCCCAGGCTCATCCCTCTGATGCCCAGCATATTGACCTTCGGGTCACAGCAGCACATCACACTGCCTTTCTCCTGAGAATATTTTGTAGTAACTCATAGGCCTCTTTGTAGTGACTCAGTAACTCAGACCATCATCTCCAATCTCTATTCCACTGGCATTATTTCCTTTTAATGTCAGTATAACCAATGCAATTTTGTTTTCCATTCAAAACAAATTTAAATGTCAACATGTTGGTTGTTGCTAGGACTTATCTATGAAGTTGAGATGGTCCTGAGACCCTTAACACATGGTTTCCACTTTTTTAAAACAGTTATTGGCCACATTTAAGTCTTTTGTGCTTGAAATCCGAATTTAATATATTTTATTTTGACATTAGTATTTACCAGGTTTTTGTTTGTATTTCTCTTTTCCAAAGCTCTGGGAAGGAGGAGAGGCAAAACAACTGTATCTGCAAATGGGAAAAAAGGGGGGGGCTTTGGAAAAAAATTATGTATAGCCAGAGGCTTATGCCTAGAGAATCAATCTCTACCCACATATACGTAGCCAATCATGACAACCACTGTGGCGTTCCTTTGTTTCCCTTCCCTACCCACCATACATATACACCTGTTCACAGAAACATTGCTTGACCAGTATCTGAGACTTGGGGTGCCCAGAACTGTGTGGGGTGCCCAGAACTTTGTCATGCCTGCTGTTGAGCAGTATACAGTACTGTGCTTTCGGGAAGACAGGACTTGCGAAATAAGCAAAGCAAATGTGTAAGGTGGTTTTGTTTAAATATAAATGTTACAGTAGTCAAAAGAGGCAAGAATTTTCTAAAGTTTTCATAGAGGAGGCAGGCACCTGGACTCTGCTATAATAGCACTTAAGATAGGCAGAGAGGCCCAGGGAGGCATTTTAGGCAAATGGAAAGCAAGAGCAAGGGTATGGAGCTAGAAATGAGCCTGGTATTTGGGGAAAGTTGATCTCAACTGCAGTGGTAGTTGTAGTGCCTGCTGGAATTGGTGACATATAGGATGTAGCAACTGAATAAGAGGGAGAAATCCAAGATAACTCAAAAGTTTTGAGTCTGCAGGATCAGGAATGGTGGTGTTGCCATTGAGAGAAATCAGGATTTGGTTAAGGAGAAAGTTTAGATGAGTTTGAAATGAGAGAGCACATATGTATGAAAACTAAGACAGGAGCTTGCACCAGGCTCAGAGTCAGATGCACTCAGGGTATAATGGGTGAAGCATCTGGTTGCTCTTGACAGTCTCACTTTGAGGACTCTAACAACCACCCTCCCACGCTGCATTTCCTTTCCCACCTAATGAGAATAGGAGGTCTTTGTTTTGTGGGGCAGCTCCCCCAATGCCGTATCTATACTCTGGCCAAAGGTAGAAATACAGTACAACTGCGCTATAATGCTGTGAGTAAAGTCTAGAAGATTCACTCATGCAAATGCACATCAAGTTATTGTGAGGTCCTAAAATGAGATCTGGGGCTTGGGCAGAGGATCATTATAGAGAGAGTTTGCCCTACCACTCAAATGCTTCAGGAGGTATGCTTCCTTTACACCTCTCAAATGTGCTTCTGGTCTTCTGGCTTAGGAAGTCAAAATTTAAACCTAGTCCTCTATGGAAACATGGGCTCCTGTAACATCCTGCAGAATTACTAAAATAAAACAAGGACCTAGATGGATAACTTTCATTTGCACTCACTCAGCTCCAAATCACTGTGATCCCCAAAATCTCTTGCAGCTCAGAAATTCCATGAAGCTAGCTTACTCTTCCTAACAAGAAAATCCCCTTCTAGAAATGCCCATCCGCTATTTGTAAACTTTCTTAGTACACTGATAAATAGATCCTTTGCCCTTAAAACAAACTTTCAATTTCAACTCTGAAAGCCATGCACATATGTCCTTCAGAATCTTACCTTTTAAAATGGAAACTGCTTGGAAGTGGCTTTTACCTGGGGAATATGGCATGCATGTGTCTGTTATACTGCCTTCCTGCCAAAATAAGTGTGTCCTTAGGCACGCTCTTTGCATATTCTATTGCTAACTACATTTTGCCAGACACCGCTTGTGAATGCAGTACGTGTGAGACCACTGCCCCGCTTCCTGTAGTGCTAGTCCTACATTTCCACAGAACTCCTCACCTAGCCAAATTCTTGAGCGCTTTGCAGTCAGCAGCACTACCTGAGGCTCTGCCTGAGTGTCACTTCAGTTGTCTTGCAGAAAGCTTCAGATGTCCTTGGTTCTATTTAGGTTGTGCAAATAGACATATATGAGGTTTGGTTCTGGTTAGTGGTTGCTACTACCAGATCACCTTGCTTACTGGTGAGTTCATTCAAACCCAAAAAGTCACACCTGTGTCCTGTGCGCGGGTGCTGCAGGCTTAGGTGGAGAAAAGCAGGGCTAGAATTGGAACCCAAAGCCCAGAATGGCAGGAGAGGATGTGGGGGCTCCACCCGATCACCTCTGGGTTCACCAAGAGGGTATCTACCGCGACGAATACCAGCGCACGTGGGTGGCCGTCGTGGAAGAGGTAACTGTTTACATTTTGCTTATTTCTTTGATTTTGCTTTCAAGTAACTTGGTTTCTATTCCAGTCTCAATATTCTGAAGTCTTTGGTTTTATTTTTGATCATTCCTTTCCATTAGGAGACGAGTTTCCTAAGGGCACGAGTCCAGCAAATTCAGGTTCCCTTAGGTGACGCAGCTAGGCCAAGTCACCTTCTTACCTCCCAGCTACCTCTCATGTGGCAACTCTACCCGGAGGAGCGCTACATGGATAACAACTCTCGCTTGTGGCAGATACAGCATCATTTAATGGTACACATGTTGCTTAATTATTTTCCATTGTATTGAGACTCTCGTAACAGAGTACTCCATAAATTTTTCTTTTTCTGACAGGTCAGGGGAGTACAGGAGCTGTTGCTTAAGCTTTTGCCTGATGACTAACCTGGTATGTATTTCTATTTCTCCTCCGTCCTCCCCCTCTTTGTTTTGGCTCTATTCAGTTGTGGTGATTTTAATGATTTTTTTTTCCAGGTGCTGGGATTCTACGAAGATATGCTCCTTTGTTCTGTTCAGTATTTGGCAATCACTTCATCCACTACTGCAGTGCACCCACCCTTGGGCCTGGGGGGAGGGAGTGGGTTGAAAAACTGCTCAAGAAACAGAAGTTTAGGAAGGGTCATGAAGAATACTGCAAGTGAAACTGCAGAGAGAGGTTACGTAGGCAGAAAGCAAGTCAACAAAAGCACTTAGTCAGGATCCGTAACTTGAAATTGACTCCTTTGGAAATTGCCATAGAACCCTTAATGGACATCATCGGCTGGACCTGGGATCTGATGAATCCCACAAAAGTCAGCACCTTCTACAGAACAGATGCCCTGATCACCAAGGACTTGGTACTGATTTAGAGAGAAGAGAGCAGCTCCTAGCAGCATCAACATCTATTTGTCGCTTATTTGCCCTGCAGCAATTCACCTGCCTTTCCTTCTCCCATCCTGTAAATATCCTAGGTTTTGCTCCAGTGTTTCCCATCCCAGTACTGACCTAATTTGGATCTACTGAGTATTTAGAGGGCTCTGAAAAGAGATATGCATTGATGAAATTAGCTACAAAGGCTTCTGGGCCTTTTTTTCTATCTGAAATCGTGTCTTCAAATTACTGGAAGTTGCTGATCAAAATTGTGGGTTCTTAAATTCATTCTCTGATTACAGATATTTTAAATAAGCTGGTTTCTATAAGAACTTCAAGAAAAACCATTTTAGCTGCTTAACTGGCACCTTTCTCAGGAAGTAATAACACCAAATATTGCTGATTCCTAGGAAAACATTTACTACTTGTAAAAAAATTTCCTGAGTTAAAGTAGTCATAACAGTTTATATACATTAAAAGTAAGGTTTTACTTTAAAAAAAAAAAAAGTCTTGGGAATAATAGCTACCATGTATTGAGTCCTTTCTGCCTTCCAGGCACTATTGTATGTACCTTATATACTTTATCACATTTAATCCTCCTGTCAATGCTTTGAGGTAGGTATGATTCCCATTTTATATATGAGTAATAAAAAAAGCTCAAGGAGTTTAATCATTTATCAAGGGTTTCTTCTGCGAATGATAGAGCCAGGCTGCGCCGTCGGCTCCTCTAGCCTAACGTTGGTTTACAGTATTCAAAAAGAGTTGATTGAATTCAAGGTTTTTTTCTTCCATGTAAAGCTATTTATATCTTCCAAGCCTAATGAAATGGATATTATAAAAATACAGTTGATTCATCCTGTGTTTGGGAAGAGTATTTTTAGTGTAATTATTTTCCAGCAATTGTAAGGGCATACTGCTTGTCTCAGAAGAAAATTCCACGTAGAGGGGCTTTAAAGTCTTTATGGAAAAAAGGAAAATAAAAATCATTTTTCTTGTTTTAGTTTTCTGGATATGCCGCAGAAGGATCCGTGCCAGAAGCAAGCCTGTGAGATACAGAAATGTTTACAAGGTAGTATATTGTAAAATGCTTTAAAAATATTTTTCCACTGTGAACTAATTATAAGAGACCAATTATTCTTTTATCTGTATTAACTCTTTTTTAAGAATGTAACATATGTAATTATCCTGAAGATTCTCTTCATTGTATCATCAAAGATGGAGAAAATAAAAATGTGATCAAAGCTAGGGGTTTTCACTCCAGGTGATTAGCATCACCTGGAGATCTTTAAAAACTTACCTAGAACAATTCAGACTTCCTGGGGCTAGGGTCTGGCTGGGAATCAGGCTAGAAAACTAACCAGGTGATTTTAATGCACAGCCAGAGTTGAGAATTACTGAGCTAAGCAAAAGGGTTTTTTTGTTTGTTTTTACTAAAAGGCTAGTTTTAAATTGGTTGGTTATACTTCACTGCAGCTGACAATTCACTTTTTAAAAGCAATCTGGAAGAGGTGGGGTTGAAATAACAATTGGAATTCAGGCTGCCAAAGCCATCAGCTAACTCTTAAAGGCAGAAGTGAATCTCAACTAAAGCATATTGGAGGTGTTTTGTCCATTTGTCCAACTACTAAGTTTGACCAAATGTTGGAGGATTTTAGTTTTCTAATCAGTAAATGATTATTGCCAGAAGAGCAAATAGAAAAAGCTATAAGGCTATCTGAAATTGAAAAATTTTTAGTAAGTTTTCCCCACTAGTAAAGTAATAGATAGAGATGGACGGTCATGAAAATATAGAAAGGTATGAAGGAAAAATGTTCAGAGTTCCCCCAAAGATTCACCACCAAAGAAATCCTTTGTGTATTTCCTTGGACTTTTAGCTTTCATTCTTGGACTTTTCATCCCACAACCCCACCCTTGTTTCTAGCTCCAAATCTGGACTGTTACCGGGGGGACTCATTAACTTCAGCTGACCTAGAGCTTTTAGGTCAGGTCCTTCTTAACTTAGTGTTTATGTATGGTAGGGATCTGTAAATGTTTTATGAAAAAGGCCAAACAAGTAATATTTTAGGCTTTGGAGGCCAAAGGCCTTTGTTGTATATATTGTGTATGTGTTGTGTGTTTACAACCCTTTAAAAATCTAAAATCCATTCTTAACTCCCAGCTGTAAAAACGGGCTGAATTTGACCCTAAGGCTGCAGTTTGCCAATTCCTGATGCACAGCCTTAGTAGGGGAGGTCTAACAATCAGCTTAAACTGTATGCAAAATAATGTGTGGTTTAGGTGCATTTTCCTAATTCATCAAATTAGTGACCAGTAATAATAATGATGTTAAAAACCAATGTCCTGGAAAAAGGTGCATGCTATCAACTCAACCTTGAAGGAAATTATATATTAAAATCGCTTTCAACCACTTTGTAAATCATACTTTTCTTCCTAATGAACCTGTTGACAGGTCTCTAAATTTGAAATAATTCAGTGGATTTTGGTATATCTTCTTTCTTCCAGTTCCATAGGTACTGAAAGTGAAAAGGGGTGGAAGTACTGATCTAAACTTCCCTGTACCTTAGTCCTATGAGATCATGACTAGACTCTGCCTGTATGTTTTTCAGCCAACAACTACATGGAATCAAAGTGTCAGGCTGTCATCCGAGAACTGCGTAAGTGTTGTGCTCAGTATCCCAAGGGAAGATCTGTCGTCTGTTCAGGATTTGAAAAAGAAGAGGAAGAAAACCTAACACTGAAGTCTGCATCAAAGTAAAGTTCTGCTGAAGTGCTGCTCCATGTTTCCACCAAATGAATTTTTTTTATCCTCCTGACTTTCTTCAGGTCAGGTAGCAGCAAATAGCAAATGAAAAAGTCAGTTATAAAAGTTAATGAATATGCCATCTATGCAGAACAGGCAGAAATATAAACACATTAAAAGACAAATATGTAGAATGTAATATACTGAGCTGCTAAAATAAACCTGTTTAAGAGAAAAAGTTTGGTTTTGTACTAAATGTATTTTAAGACTATTAGATATAGGGTATTAATGAATTCTCTTGAAGTTCAGACCACTAGTGCCATTCATCAAACTTAAGTCCTGTGAGGTATGTTAGGTGAAAGGACTCACTTCCAGCATCACAATTTTGATGCCTTTTTTTTTCTTGAGATGGAGTCTCACTCTGTCACCCAGGCTAGAGTGCAATGGTGCGATCTCAGCCCACCGCAACCTCGGCCTACCGGGTTCAAGCCATTCTCCTGCCTCAGCCTCCCGAGTAGCTGGGATTATAGGCATGCACCACCACACCTGGCTAATTTTTGTGTTTTTAGTAGATGGGGTTTCACCATGTTGGTCAGGCTGGTCTTGAACTCCTGACCTCATGATCTGCCCACCTCGGCCTCCCAAAGTGCTGGGATTACAGGTGTGAGCCAATGTTGATACCTTTTATAGATTACATGCTAAATTAATTCAAAGTTTCCTTTAAACTAACTCATTACCTTTTGCACTTCCAAAAATACAGAGCAAAAAGTGTCTTTCCAGATGCCAGTAAGAGCATTTCTTTCTGCTTTTGCATCCCCACCCCAGCAACTAACCAGAAGTGCTTAATATTCAGTCAGTGGTAAGAAAGGCATAGAAATGATGCTTGTAATGTTTAATGATCCTTAATTTATCATGAAGGAACTGAAGAAAAAATTTTCATTGGAAGTCAGGTAGGCAGCAAGATAATTCAAACTTAGTTGGTTTATCTATTCTTCATATCGTAATAATAAAAACCTGTTACAGAGGATCCAGACAATATTAATACAAAGCTGCTGAATGAAGCCTATTGACAGTTGTCAGTCACTTTATGAAGTAGGAGGAGGCAGCATGCAACACAGGCCATTTGCTTTCCTCAAATGGATGCTTGAACCACCAAAGTCCGTCCTCTAAAAAAGAAAAAGATGACTAAAAGCAGGAACAATTTCTGCTAGGTTCCTGATGTTAAAATACCATGATTATTTGAGACCAACTGTTTTCCTTAAAGCAGCATTCCTCAGAGTGTTTCTAGGAATTGCTGTAACCAGAAGAAAAAAAAAAGCTTCTGTGTTCAGGTAAGTTTGGGGAATGCTAGGTTGCATACAAGTAAACAGGTTAATTTCCTGTCAGACTTCAGAGCTTTCAAAAAGCCTAAGTGAACCTGTTTTGCATGTGTGTGTGTGAATGCTCTCCAGAGAGACTTAGAAAAATGCTGCCTTAGAGACGTTTGGTTCACAAACCAGAGTAACAGAGCTAAATCCCCATGAAATTTAAATGAAGTCTTGTGTTAATAATAAAACAATAAAACATTATACAACTTTAATGTTACACCATCTACAAATCTAAATTACATTTAAAATTATCAGTTGATAGTGGTACTAGGATTTACTTTAGGAATCACTGCATGATCAAATAGATTGTTTTTCTGTGTTTTATTGCTTATTTTTACTGAGTTAACTACTCCAGTTTCAGACTCTCTTAAATGTTTTTACGCTAAAGTATATGTATTAGTCCATTGTTGCATTGCTATAAAAAATGCCTGAGACTGGATAATTTATAAAGAAGGGGTTTAGTTGGCTCACAGTTCCATGGGCTGTACAGGAAGCATGGCACTGGTATCTGATGGGCTTCTAGGGATGCAAGTGCAAGGAAACTTAACAGTCATGGCAGAAGGCAAAAGGGGAGTGAGCACTCCACATGGCCAAAGCAGGAGCAAGAGAGAGTGAGGGGTGAAGTGCCACACACTTTTAAATGACCAGATCTCATGAGAACTCACTATCATGAGTAAAGTACCAAGAGGGGATGGTGCTAAACCATCCATGAGAAACCCGCCCCCATGATCCAATCACCTGTCACCAGGATCCACCTCCATTAGGGAACACAGTTCAACATGAGACTCAGTGGATCCAAACTGTATCAGTATACTAATTTCTTTCGGTTTTGAAAGGTTCAAATCAGTTCTTTCCTTTAAAGGATTGTCTCAGTTTAAGTCAACAAATCTATTTGAAGACATTAATTTAACTCTTATTATTCTTAGCTACTATTATGATATACAAAAAAATAAAATAGCCATTATAAAAGGCTTAACATTTACTGAGTGCTTCTTATTGCTAGGGACCAACATTAACACTGAATGTCAGTCTTAAGGAAAGAACTCTAGAAAGGTGAAAACTATGATCTCCCAGTTTAGAAACCGCCCCCCCCCCAAAAAAAAAAACAACCGTTAAGTTGGCTATTAGTGATGCTACATTTAATCACTTGGTTAGTGACTGACCTTTTAGCTAGAAAAAGCCCTTGCTCTTCCACTTTGCCACAGTGCAACAACTCCTTTCCTTGCATTCACTCCATACGATTCCTAAGACATTTAATGAACTATAATATTACACTTGTGTTCAGTATTCAGAAGGCATCTGAAGTTGTATGGCACTTAATATAAAAGGCCTTAAAGCCCTGTTAAGCAAAACTCTTCATTTTTTCAGCACCAGCTTCCAACTCTGTACTTCAGTGGTTCTCAGTCTCAGCTGCTCATTAGAAAAAGCTAAGACTTTAAAACTTTGGGATGCCTGAACAGCACCCCAGACCAGTGAAATCAGAATCTCTAGGATGAGAGCCAGGCATTAGTAGTTTTTAAAATTTCACAGGTGATTGCCAAGTGCAAGCAAGGATGAAAACCACTGCTCTCAATAATGTCATTTCTTACCATCTTAAAATTTAAAAAGACAGTTTTGACAAGTCAATAAGCTGACTTTAAAGCTTTATACAAATGTGAAAAAGTGCAACACTGTTTTCTTTTTAAAAAGAAGTATTAAGATTCATGACCCTTAAAAAGAATACAGGCATCAGAAATATAAGCTACACCATATGACTTCTAGAAAAATCAGGCTCAGAACTAAAATAGGTTTTCTGCCCAATTACTCAAATGTTAGTGTGACCTCTTAGAGAATTGGGCAGAAAATGTATTTTAGTTCTGGGCCTGATTTCCGAGAAATCATACTGGATTTCATGACAGATAAATGAAGCTGATAATTTGGTGGAGGGAGCAGAGGGCAGCAGTCAAATTTTTATCTGGGGTCCAAAACTGGCTGTGAGCTTCCCTCTGAGAAGAAATTGACATCATCATGAAACATTGATGATACTCAGAAATTTCAAATCCATCAGTGTACCATTTTTTTTTCAAGCAGATTCCCAAACTGTTCCAAATAAGAGCCCAGCCATTAGTTATGCCCATCTTTCTGGCAACCATCAAACAAAAGAATGATGGAGAGACTATTCTTACAATAGTTAACCACACAATAACTCTGCTTTCCAAAACCAGAAGCACCCACCCCAAGAGTATGTTGGCTAGAATTATGCAAGAGTTCATTCCTTGTAGAATCTGGTCCTCCAACTTGAATCGTCTTCTGCCAGCATCCATGAGACAGTAACTGCCCAGATCCAGTAGCAAGGACTGTCATCCCAGTGGTGGGGGAGTCAAGAACCCCACTGTCCTGTTAATGAATATCTGGAGGCTGAATGGCAGGAGATGGCAGCAAACAAGTGGCCATTTGGGAGGAGAGTCATGCTAATAATTATCACAATGACAGTAACACGACAATGGGCTGCTCAGGCAAGGGTCCCCACCACCACATCCCTCCCCCGACCCAGCTCCCGTGTCAGCAATGAGGATACACATCTTTGGGGGAGACTGAAACACTGGACTCCATCTGTTGAGCCCGAGCAGGCAGCCGCCAGAGAGTGCCCCTGGATCTGTCTCTGCTCTCCAACTCTGGGGAGAACCTTGGAAAGAAGAGACTCCAACGTTCTACCTCGCCGGTAGCACACTCCAAGTCCCCATCCCACCAGGTCCCATTGCAGCAGAGACGCTGGGTCAAAGGGTGGCTCAAAGTGGCGAGGACGCAGGGCGGACTCACAGTAGCCAGGAAGGGGACAGAAGGGGTCCCTGATGCCATCCTATTGGTTGACAACTTGGAAGCCTTGAGTGCGGTGTTACCACGTCGCCGCCACAAGGGGGCGATGAAACTCCGAACACATTCCAAGTCAAGTTTCTCTGGGCCATACACAGCGACAACGCTCTTCCCAAGGAAAAACTTCTGCCCCACCACCACTAATTAGGAACGTTATTGGACTCTGCTACTGGAGAAAATACGTGCCTAACTCAGCAGGCCTCTCCAGTCAAATGAAAATAGTGCACTGAAAGGTGGAGCTGCCTGGTCCTTGAATCATCTCGGTTTTGCATGGAGGAGTGGTAGCTGTTCTTTTGGGGGAAACCTTAACTCCCACTTCACCACCTGAAACAAAGATGCTGGCACAATAGGGCCTTGATTCACAGGTACCCCAAAATGCCTGAGCCTACTTCACTGATGGTTCAGCTAAACTGAAAACAAGGTGTGCAGCTGTGCGTGTTCAACCTCCATGCTCTGTACAATCCCAAGTGGGCGCCGTGGACTCACATAGTGGGCAGAACTCACAGCCATTCTCATACTAGCAGGATGAGGCCAACCTGCAATACTGACCTCAACCATGACCCTCACAGTCCTAGAGACAACCAGCTGGGAAAAAACTTCAGAGACCTACCTACAGATCTTAATTCAGACAATCAGGATAGAGTCTGAGGCCAGACTATTACAACCTACTCAAGGTAATTTAGAACCACCTGCTAATCTTTGCTGTACTCACCAATAATCACAGGAAAAACAGATGCACCAAAAGACAACCCCTACCCCACTGGAGAGGCACTGGGTGGCCAGTCTCCCCACATGCAACCCAAAGGGGCACAGAGCATTTTGGTTAGCTTTGCTGTTACCATCCCATTGCTGTGGGTAAGTCACACAGCTAAAGTGGCTGCAGTCACTATCACCATATATGGCATAACCCAAGAGACCCAGATGTCAGGAGAGGCAGAGTATGGGGAAGCAGGAAACAGATGACTCAGTGTCACTACATATATCCATATCAATATATATAGATATAAATATATAGCAAACAAAAATTTAGAGGAGGATATATAAGGTTAAGAGACTTATTCAAATCATGCAAATACAATGTGAACCTTGCATGAATTTTGATTCAAACAAACTAAATGTAAAATACTTGAGACAAGGAAATTTTGAACACTGATCAGATTTTGGATATTATGTAATTACTGTTAATGTTTGATGTGATGAGGTACTATATTTATGATTTTTAGAAATAATTTCTACCTTTTAGAGATACATACTGAAATATGATCAAATGACATTTTGATATTTGTTTCACAATAATTGGTAAAAATGAGCATAGCTATAATTTTGTTGTAGGTGAGTGATAGATACATGGGGGGATTATTGCACTATATTCTCTACTTTTATATATTCCTGAAAGCATCCATAATAAAAAGTGAAAAAAAAATAAGTTCTTACAGAAAAATACGCAGCAAAGAGGCTCATACCATTATGGTTTTGAGATGATTCATACATATTGCAAACAAAATGGCTTATGTTTCCTTAAATGTAAGGAGAAAAACACAAATAGGTGATGTCTGTAAAGTTCCACACATCCACTGGTAGTTTTGATTTTCAAATTCAATACATCATTCTCAAGACGGGTTAAAATGCAAACATTTTTAAATGTATGGCCTTAGAAACACACTCATATTTCACAAGAGATCATCTCCAAGATTAATGATTAATTCTGAGTAAAACTAACCTTTAATAGTGAGTTTTCTTTCTATAAAGTCATTATTCATATATTCCACAAATACTCAGCACCTATTAAGTGCTAAGCCCTGTGAGTATAATGGTGAAGACAGAAGTCTTACCCTCTGAAAGCTGACTGATATTCTGGTTGGGACTGTAGACATGGTAACATGCCACTACAGCAAAATATGCTAAGATTCTGTGTGTGTGCATGTGTAAGCTTTTAAAGAATTCTAGAGGTTGTGGTCATCATGAGATGGTAGATTACACTTGACGGAAATTTATTTCACATGTATCACAAGAAAGATACAGTATGTATCTTTCTTAATTTGGAATCCCTGGAAAGCTACTTCTTTAAAATTCTGGTTTAAATGTTATATTTCAAACTAACTAGATTAAAAAAAAAAAAATAGAAGTGGCACAGAGGAGTTATGGCCACCCCTAATGTTTTGATAAGAATACTTCATTCACATTTCAAAGCTTAAAACCTTTTCTACGAAATAAAAATCCAAGATCTTCCCTTTCCCACCTAAATCACTCGTTTTACAATAAATAAACCCTTTGGAAACAGCCATGAGATACATTATCCTGTATGGTAGAAAACATTTCTGGACAACATTGGATTTTTCAATTATAATAATTATGCTGCCAATTTTGTCGGCATAATTATAACAGATTTAAATAGCTCTTTCTGTAATGTAAAGTCAACTAAAAAAGAAAGTAGACACCAAGATACCAAAATCTTTCATGCTTAAAGGCAAATGTATTCAGTTCCTTTCCATGCAGCACACAATAAGGTTATCTATGTGCTTATTTCTTTTCCAAATCAACAGTTCGGGACAACCTTTCAGGATCTACTCATCCTCCACAGTCAGCCATCTTGCAACGTGTTCTCATAAGTGTCTTGCATGGGGGTAAAGGAACTTTCTTGTTGACCTACAGACTGACCAAGTAGGGGGTGTACTGGGAGGAGAGCTAAGGACTATTGTCTCTTCTGCCACCATCAGGCTCATGGTGCCACATTAACTTGTACCAGCAGACGCTTATAGAAGCCACTCGGATTTGCCATGGCAGGGAGGAAGGAGAAGAGGAGGAGGGACTCGATGTCCTATGATGGAGTGTAGAGGTTGCTGGCTGGAAAAAAACAGGAACAATGAACATGAAGTCATCTTCCTTAGGATGCCATGCCAAGCAGAAAGCCTCCGAAAAATCCCCCAGTCACTAGAACATTCTTCTTCACAAATGACACCACCTGAAAACAGAAGATAGTACAATGGGTTGTTTTGCTAAGGATGTTAATAATATTAAGAATCATCTCTATTATACCTATGCCTGCTCCCAGGTAGATGCTATAAATTCTCATTCTCACACTTCACCACATCTAAGATGATTAACAGGTGAGGTTCTTATTTCCTTAAGTTCCCAAAGCTTCCCACCTCCCCTCTACCCTTCTGGAAAACCCAGTCATCTGAGACTCAGTGCATACATTCAGACACTCTTTACGGCTCCTTAGTCTGTCTTCTACCAATCTCCTGACCACTCCCCACCCTTCCAAATTCAGAGACAATTTTGGTAACTGGCTCAGACTTCCTCTTTCTCCTAAGTATGATCACCACCTTAGAAAGTGTTCATATGAACAAGACATCCAACATCCTGGCCTGATCATTTCTTGAACTCAAATACAGTGACTTCATCTCCAAACCAACTAAGCTACTCACACCCTGACATTCCCCTAACATTTTTCACACTACCACCCCATCCTCCTAGGACCACTGTCTCCTAACCCTCCAGTAAGCCCTTACTCCAACTATGCCTATGTCTTCCTGCCTCATTTCCACTCTTCCCCCAACTCTCCTGGACCTCTACATTTCCTTAAATGAAGCACTTTTGTCATCTGCCATTGGGGTAAAGAAAAAAAATCATACAACTTCCTGAAAAAATTGGTTTAGTTTATTATTTTTACTACTCTTTCTTCAACCTTGCTAATTTGGCTTTCAACTGCACCACCCCACTAAGCTGTTCTCACTGAAGTCATCTTGTTGCTAAATACTGAACTAAATCTTCATCCTATTTCTCAAATCAGACCACCAGCTCTATGAGTAAGAAAACCAGCCACTACATCCCCAGGGTCTGTGACAGTGCCAGGCCAGGAACAGGAACACACAAATTTGTGAAATTCCAAATCATCTGGTTACTTTATAACAAACTCCCTCTGTGAGTCAACAGTTGGTTCCAATCAAATATTAACTTTATACTTTTTGTTATATACACTTCCAGTATTATTTTAGAAGTTTTCAGCACGGCGCCGTGGCTCACACCTATAATGCACTTTGGGAGGCCGAGGTGGGAATACTGCTTGAGCCCAGAAGTTTGAGACCAGCCAGGACAACACAGGGAGACCCTGTCTCTCCAAAAAATTTAAAACTTCACCGGGCGTGGTGGTACACACCTATAGACCCAGCTACTCAGAAGGCTGAGGTCAGAGGATCGCTTGGTTGAGGCTACAGTGAGCCATGACTGTGCCACTGCACTCCAGCCTGGGTGACAGAGTGAGACCTCTCTTAAAAAATTTTTTTTTACTCACTGTGGTGAGTCACTGTGCCCAGCCATGTATTATTTTTATAAACATTTGAATAATAAAGTTTTCATGAAATAAAGTATAACTTTCATAACTTTGAGGAGAGACAGAAGGAAGAAAGGAAAGAGGAACCATCTGGGCTCTGGGCTCCTGTAGATACCCACCTCTGTCACCCTCTCACTCTGGGTAAAGGCACCAGCTTTGACCAGCCACTTGCCAATCACCAGGATGAAGAGCCACTCACAACATGAGAAGCCTGAGGCACACACAGGGTATTTCTTCTCCCCTGCACTCAATCTGTCTGTTTTCCCTGTGAGGCTAGAGTGAGATAATGGGAGAATCTCTCATCACTCCAGGCTATAGAAAGTACCAGCTATCTTCTTGACACCCTGATCCTTGCTTATTTCTCCCCAGTTCAGTGTACTTATTTATTTGGGACATCTGATAAATTTCTAAAGGTAATAACGAAGCAGCAAAAAATATCCTTTTAAAAAGTAAGAACTTCTCCTGTCCCTACAGTGCCAGGTTATAATCTAACTTGGCTTTAATGAACAAGATCAGGGGTTAGCAAACTACAGCCCATGGGCCAAATCCGATATGAACCTCTTTTTAGATAAAGTTTTATTGCAACACAGCCACATCCACTTATTTAACATATCATCTATGGCTATTTTCATGATATACAGTGGAGCTGAATACTTGTGACATTTCCACTAGTTATATGCAGAACAAGCGGAGTATAAATGTTTCAGAGATACGTGTGTATGGGGACAAAATCATACTATGCTGCCCTACATTCCTACAAGAACTGGTTAAAGGGATAATCACTCCACAAATGTACACAGACAAAGGTTACCAAACACTTTAATTATCCAGCTTTTAAAAATGCTCTGAAGTGATGATATTCCAAGTTAGTTTTGTCTCGTTACTCTAAGTTCTTTGTAATGCTTAAGCCCTGTCCATCACTGAGATATGGTGCAACAGGGTTAAGCCTTGTTTTTGTACACACAAAATTGTCAGCACTGTTCACACACTACACATGAACAATGCGAGTCTCACCTCCTCAGCTTTGCTCCTGACCTCAGTAGGTATCTGATTGCTCTTACGGATCTTCAGCTGCTCTTTGGCTTTCTTCATGTCCTTCTCCACTCGTTGCCAGTCAACTTTGATGTACCCAGTATGGTTTGCAAGCTATAGTATCAACAATAATGACAACAAGAAATGAGAAACAGATTTGTTATTTCTTTTCATCAGGATAAATCCTGAAGTAGACTCTCGAAACCCTCTGACTTTCCATTTTTGGAGACATCTGCCATTTGATTCTTTGTATCATGATGACATCTATTCAGCATCCCCCCAATATGTGAAGCCATATGCCTGGCACTAGAAATAACTACTGGCAATTCTTTTATTTATACTCTTACAACCCTTTTACAAAGAGTTATGTAAGATGAAAATCAAGGTGGGGATCAAGATGTAGGGTGAAGAGATGGACCTTACAGCCAATACAAATGTTTCCAGAGAATGACCCTGACAATGTGCCCATGAGTGTCAGTTTCCTGACAACGTGAACAGAATAAAGCATTCAGGCAGTAATTACTGTTGCTTAACAGGAAGAAATATAGCATCCAGCCCCACAGAGATTTCTCATGAGCAACTTCATATAAACGGGTATTAAGAGAAGCACATCCAAAGACACCTACAGCATACACCTATTTCCCTTGATAAAAAAACAGCAGGCAGAAACACTAAAACTCAGTGTAAATCTGATTCAAGCATGTAGTTTTTTGATGACGGATTAATATCATCCAAGGAATGAAGAGAATGACTATAGCCGACCAATGAATGCCCTATCAATATCACTTCTCTACCTGGATATCTCAAAATATCCCAAACTAAAAGTCGTCACTTTGCTAGAGTCTCCTCCTGCATTGTTGCTCTTCCTCTAGTCCCTATTTTAGCTAATGGCACCACCAGTCACCCAAACAGACTACAGAAAATACTTGTGATGTGTATCATAAACAAAACATTGAGACTCAAAAAAAGTGAACTTCTTATAGAGATCAGTAAGAAAGAAAATTCACTTTAAAAATGGGTAAGGGCAATTCACAGAGGAAGGTGTCCACGAAAAGGAAAAAGTTCAACCTCACAAGTAATCAAGCCATAGTAGCTCTACTTATGAGTTTATAACTAGAAATTCACAAAAGTCTATCAATACATGAATGGATAAACAAATTGTATCATGTTTACACAATAGAATATTACTTAGTACTAAAAAGAACAAATTACTTATAGCAACCACATAGTTGAGTATCAACGTTTGTATCTAAAAGGTGGCTCTGGTTCATTTACTCTGTTTATCCCACAAAATCCTGCTATTAAACTGAGAGAATATATGGACTAGCTATTTGAAGGCTCTTACATAAAAACAGCAGCATGCAGATTGGAAAAGACCAGAAAACCAAAGCACCACCAAACTGGTGGCGTGTTTCCTGCTTTTCCTGCAGTATCGCCTGGCTTAACCTCAAGGCAGGACTCAAGAAACATCTGACGAAATTCAACGCAAATTCATGATAAAACTCTCAGAGAAAGAGGATTAGAGGGGAACTTCCTGAATTTGATAAAGAACATCTACCAAAAAAAACCCTGCAGTGAACTCAGAGTCAGCACAACATGGCAAGAAAAAGAATTAGGAGGCATCCTGATTCACAAGGAAGAGGTCAAACTGTCTCCAATCATAGACATCTTTGTCTACATAGAAAATTTCATAGACTTCAACAAAAAAACAAAAACTTCTAGACTAAAAAAGTTTAGCAGGGTCACAGGATACAAATTCACACAAAACCAACTGAATTTCTAAATGCTAGCAATTTGAACTGGAAATGAAAAATGTTTAAATGATTTACAACAATAGGTGCTAAAAATAATTAAATATTGGGTACAAATCAAATAAAACATACAGGATCTGTATACTGAGAACTACAAAACGCTGAAGAAAGAACTCAAAGACAACCTAAATAAATGGAGAGACGACATGTACATGGAATGGAATGCTCAACACAGAAATGAGATGCCCAATTCTCTCCAAATTGTCTATAGATCCCAGCAGGATTTCTTATAGATACATAAATAAGCTGGTTCTAAAATTTATATGGAAAGGCAAAGGAACTGGAATCACCAAAATGATTCTGAAAAAGCACAGAGTTGGGGGAATCACACTACCTGATTTAAGATTTACTATAATGCTACAGCAGTCAAGACAGCATGTGATACTGAAGAAGACAGACACAGACCAACGAACAGAATAAAAAGTACAGAAGCAGACTTGGACAACTACAACTGATTTTTTACAAGGGTGCAAAAGTAGTAATGGTGGTGGTGAAGTCCCCTGGGTGGCCCAGACCAGGATTGCAAGGTGACTTCCTGCTCTCCTTGGCATTACTAGGGGACTGCACTGCAGGGGCAAAGCAACACCAGAACTGGGAAAAACAGCCTCTCCCGCTGCAAGGTCCCTCCAGCGCCCTCTACTGACAAAGCTCAACATCCTACTTCCATTGCAGCACAACAAGTAGAGGGAGCCGAATAAACTGACAACTGGCAAGCGTTGTTGCTGGGCTCTGAAAGCTGCAGAAAGTGCTGGAAATGATCTACAGCTTGGTAAGAAAAAGCAACTACATTCATAAAGACGTGAAGGAAAAATTTCACTGTTCACAGATGGCATAAAAAGATTTTATAGACAAAACCCAAAAGAATCCCAGACAAGTCAGAAATAAGAGACTTTTTTAACAAGGTGGCTGGCTGAAAGAACAACATAAAATATCAACTGTATTTCAACACATTAGCATGAATCAGAATGTGTAGTTTTAAAAATTGTATCATCCACAAGAGCAACTAAAGTTATAAGGTATCCAGTAATAAAACTGAATCACAGATGTACAAGATCTATATGGAAAAATAATAAAAGTCTATTCAAAGGCATTAAAGAAAACCTAAATAATTGGAGAGAAAACCCATGTTCACAGATAGAATACTCAATATCATAAGAGATATCTACATGGTTCCAATGCAATTCCGATAAAAATTTCAACACGATTTTTGAAAATAACTGACAAGTCTGATCTAAAATTTAGATGAACAAGCAGGAACACAAAAGTAGCTGCAACACTCCTGAAGAATAAGGTGGAGAAATTTGCATTACCAAATATTAAGCTTTAGTACTGTCATAAAGATAGAAAGTTGACTAGTGGAATAGAACACGGAAACCAGAGTCACAGCCACACATACATGGATTTTGATATATGAAAGAGACAATGCTGCAAATGTTGGGAATGGGAAGAATTATTCACTAAATTCTGCTCAATTATCAGTATGGAAAAAAGGAAACTGTATCCCTATGTCAAACTATAACCCGTGATATAACTGATCTCCCAACATTATGCTTGCCTCCTGCTCTCACTCCTCTGGTGACAGATAACATGAGTGCCTGCCACCAATTCTCCACGTTTCACCTCTGCAGCAAAGCAGTGTCCCTGTACCCCTTGAATATTGGAATTATCCAACACCAAAATCTCATTTTGAGGTGCCTTTCTGGAGACACTTTCAATACCAATTATTTCTGTCAGGGCCCCAAAAAGAAAGAGAGGACACACTCAAATTAAGACATTTCAAAGCAATATTAAGATGTTTATGAAGTTTGGGGCAGCATATAAGGGAAACCACAGGGATAGAGATGTTACTGCACTTCCACCTGAAGGGTCAAGGGGAAGGGGAGAGAGGTGTAAGGAGAGGCCCCACCTTGCAGGGCATCTGACCTGTCCAGCAACAGAGCCAGCACCTAACAAGCCTACAGGGAAGCAGCCAACAAAAGTGAGGCTACATGACTTTTGAGGCTTGGGCAACAAAGGAGATGCAATTTGCACCACGTTTCTGGAGCACTGTGCTTGGGAGTCCTGAGGTCAAGGTGGTGTGAGGAAGCCTATGCCGGCACAGGGACCACATGGAAGAGCACTGAAACTATGGACATGGGGGAAGTAAGGAGAGGAGGAGGGAAGACAAACAGAGACAGAGAGACAAAGAGGCCCCACAAGTCCAGACCTACCCCAATCCTCTGATCATCTGGCCTGTAACCACATGAGACTCTGATCCACAAGCACCTACCTTAACCCTCCCCAAACTCCTGTAACCATGAGAGAGAATAAAGTGATCATTATTTGAAGCCATTAGGTTTGGGGGAATTTGTCATGCAGCAATACCACACTCAACCCAGATACAGCCAGTTACCAGCTTCCCTCTTCAATACATTTGATTTTCACCTGACCTATCTGCAAAACTCACTCCAATCATGGTGCTAATGTAGAACTTACCTTGCATAAGTGAGGGTTGCCAACTGTGGGAAGAGACAAAGGGCTGTGAATTCAGAGACTCTGGCATGATTCAGCAAGTTATGGCTCCCACAACACAGCAGCACTATGCACCGCTGCATGACAGAATCACGTCAGGAGTTTTAAGTTTTCCAATGAAATCACACTGTGGGTCAGGGGTGGCACAGGTTGGCTCTTTTAAAAACTCCTAGGTGATTCCAATGCGGAGCCAGGTTTGAATATCAATGCCGCAGAGCTAAGAAATGTATGCTTAATACAATCAAACGTCAGTTTTCTTTTGTTTTTGGAGAAACTGCTCCCCTTTTCTTTTTCAAGTCTTGCTTGTAAGTCTCTCCTAAGCAGTCTCAAAAGAACTGGCAACCACTGGTTCTGAAACTATGGGTCAAGGAGACAGCAGACAACATCTGAGTGTACTGTCACTTAGCTCCCATTTCTCATCACATGCTCCACGTCCCCTCTGTAAAAGCTAGCTATATTAGCATATGAGACTAAATCATCACAGCACACTTATATTTTTGAAATCACATCTGCTTAATATTTGAGCTGGTCTTAAAAACTCTTTCAAGGGAGCTATGATAAGGAATTTGCACTTCTGTCCCCACATGAGGAAATAAAATATGACTGGGTAAATAACATTTACTAGTACAATGGATAAAATTTGACTCAAACGGTCACTAGCATTTAAAATAGTACACAGCCAGGACTGTATTACAACTCCCCACACCACATTCCTTAATGGGCAGGTGGAATTTCCAAACATCCGAGAACATTTCACATACAGACCTGAAGGAGAAAAAATCCACCTCCCACAGCTGTTGCAGCCAACTTTCCAACCTTCTGGAATATGAAACCCGTGCACCTACAAAAACAAATCAACATCAGACAAATTGATGAGCTGTCAGTTTTGCATAAACAATGCATTTCTGGCAATGTTCATATCTTATGTAGCTTAAGATGATCTAGCTCCTTCCTATCCCCTACATAAAGCCCAGCCCCAAGAGGAGGAAATCAAATCTTGGCTCTATGAATGTTGTGGTCTTGAGTAAGTCCCTTAAAACTCTCAGGTTATATTTTTAAAAGACGACTCTGGCTACATTGTGGAGAAATGATTAAACGGGGAGGATGAAGTCAGAGACTAGTTAAGAGGGTAAAGTAGCAATCCAGAAGAGAAATGAATGCCATGGGCCGAAGTAGAGATTGCAAGGAGGGAGGAGACCTGAGAACTGTTTGTGAAGAAAAAAATAAAACACGCCTGAGTTTGAGGACAGGACAGTTGCAAGGGATAAGTCACAAGATTCTGTCCTGAATGTGGCATTTTTTACAATATAAAAACAAGGAAGAGAAACAGAGGAAAAGGTGGCGGAAGGGAGGGGAAGAGATAATGTCATTTTGAATGTGTTGAATGCAAAATGTCCACATGATATCTGAGTGGCAACATCTCGTAGCCAGTTTAATATAATTATGCGTTTCTTTATTATTGTCTATCTTCCTGCCCCCACCCGATACATAGCTTCATGAAGGCAGAGATTTGTTGTGTTCATTGCTGAACACGTATCAGCTGTAATCATTAACCATTGTTGAAAAAATCCTCCCTAGACTCCAATTATCCAGCCACCTTCCCTTTTCTCTGCTCTCCTGTACAGCAAAACTACTTTGAGGCCATCTCTTTTGTCCTGTGTCCATATTCTCTCACACCTACTCCATTCAGGCTTTTGTCCCATGACTTCAATGAAACCATTCCTATCAAGGTTACCACTGATCTTGACCTCACCAAATGCTAGTGTTCACTTCTCAGCTTTAATCTCATCTGACCTACAACAGCTTTTGACACAGTCAATTACTCTCCCCTTCTTAAAAAAAAGAAATTTTATTGTGTATATTTGAGGTTTACAACATGATGTTATGGGATACATATAGACAAGTAAAGTGGTTACTATAATGAAGCAGATTAATATATCTATCATCTCACAGTTACTTTTTTGTGGTAAGAGCAGCTAAAATCCACTTATTTCATGGAAATCCCTAAGGCAATACAATTGCCTGAATGGAGTAGGTGTGAGAGAATATGGACACAGGACAAAAGAGATGGCCTCAAAGTAGTTTTGCTGTACAGGAGAGCAGAGAAAAGGGACAGTCGATTACTCTCCCCTTCTTAAAAAAAAGAATACAATAAAATTGTATTAGCTGCAGTCCTCATGCTGTACATTGGATCTCTAGACTTGCTCCTCTTACATATTTGCTACTTTGTATCCTTTGACCTACATCTCCCCATTTCCTCCCATCCTATCCCTGGTAACCAGTTTTATTTCTTTATATTTATATTTATTACATTATAGCACTGTCTGTATATATGACTTTTTCCCCACACATATGAGATCATGCAGTATTTTGTCTTTCTGTGTCTTATTTCACTTAGCATAATGTCCTCCCAAATCTATGCTATGGCAAACAGCACAATCACCTTTTTTAAGGCTAAATAGTATCCCATTGTATACACATTTTCTCTATCCATTCATCCATTGATGGACAGATGGACACTTAGGATGTTTCCTTATCTTGGCTACCGTAAACTAATGCTGCACTGAACATGAGAGGGCAGATATCTTTATGAGGTGGTGATTTCATTTCCTTGGGGTATATACTCAGAAGAGGAATTGCTGGGTTGCATGGTAGTTCTAATTTTAATTTCTTTAGGAACCTCCATACTGTTTTCCATAATGGTTGTAGCAATCTACATTCCTGCCAACAGTGTACTAGGGTTCCTTTTTCTCCACACCCTCATCAACAATTATCTTTCCTTTTGATAACAGCCATTCTAACAGGTGTCAGGTGATATCTCATTGTGGTTTTAATTTGCATTTCCCTGATCACTGGTGATGCTAAGCATCATATACCTCTGGTGGCCATTTCCATGCCTTCCTTGGGGAAATGTCTGTTCAGGTCTTTTGCCCATGTTTTATCAGGTTATTTGTTATTCTGCTATTGTACTCTCCTTCTTGACATCTTTCTGCTCTGGAATACCATTCTCTCTTGGTTTTCCTCATATATCACTGGCCATTCCTTATCAGACAATTTTGCTTCCTCTTTCTGACTTTTGAATGTTAGGTTGTCCCAAGACTCAGTCCTAGAACCTCTTTGCTCTGTGTATTCACTTTCTATCTGCTGGGTGTATACCATGATCTCTGATGTAGGTTACTGTTACAGCTCCTCATCTGGACTCCTTACCTCCACTTTTGCCCCCTAGAATCTATTCTCAATATAGCAGCCCATACAATCCTAAAACAGGGGACGACAAACCGCAGCCTGGGAGCCAAATCCTGCTAGACGTCTCTTTGTAAATCAAGTTGCAACGGAGACTGTGTGACCCATAAAGCCTACAATATTTACCATATGGGCTCTTTTCAGAAAAATTTCGCTGACCCCTGCTCTAAAATGTAAGATCAAGGTACACTTCTGCTCATAACCTTCCAGTAGCTTCCCTCCTCACTAAGAGAGACAGTTAAAGCCTTACACTTAACATCTTGTCTCCCATTACCTCACTACCCTCATTGTCTACTGTTCTCCCCTTATTACATTTCAGCTCAGTAAGAGAAAGAACTACAAATACAACAATGCATGGAGAACCTCATAAGACTTAATCTTTTTTAAACAAAAGTTAGATGTCAGGCAGTATATTTCTGAAGCAACTCTGAAATTGGAAGGTTGGTAGGACCAGTAAATAAATCATAAGGGTCCATTTTAAGAGCGTTCCACTGTTTAGACTTACTAAAGTATAATCAGAGTCACTGATACATATTTAGAATGGTTACAGATTTTTGCTGTTACAAAAAATGTTGCACTGTTTATAACACCTGGCTTTTTCTCTTTTTAAAACAAAACATGCATTTTTAATAAAGCCTAATAATAAAGCTAGACCCAAAAAGATCAAGTAATTTCTAAGTAACTGGATCCAAGAACAAGAATCAAGCACATTTATAAGAATAAAAAATATCTAGCACCCAATGAAATAAAATTCATAATATCTACCATCTAATTAAAAACTACCAGGCTTGCAAGGCAGAAAAATATGAACCATGATAAAAAAAAAAAAATCACCTAAAAGAAACCCAGAAATGATACTGATGACAAAATTAGTAGACAAAAGCATTAAAAGTTATTATAATTATATTCAATATGTTCAAGAAGCTAGAGAAAAGACTGCACATAATAAGTAGAGGCAAGGAAGCTCTTTTAAAAACATGCAAATCTTGGCTGGGTACAGTGGCTCATGCCTGTAATCCCAGTACTTTAGGAGGCCAAGGCAAGAGGATTGCTTGAGCCCAGGTGTTTAAGGCCAGCCTGGGCAACATAGTGAGTCCTCATCTCTCTAAAAATAACTTTTTTAAATTAGCCAGGCATGGTGGCATGCACCTGCAGTTCCACCATTCGGGAGGCTGAGGTGGGAGGATCTCTTGAGCCCAGGACGTAGAAGTTGCAGTGAGCTGTGATTGTGCCACTGCACTCCAGCCTAAGCAACAGAGCAAGACAGTCTCAAAAAAAAGATGCAGATCAAACTTCTAGAAATAAAAACTACAATGTCTGAGATGAAATATATAGCAGTTTAGACACTGTCGAAGATTAATAAACTTCATGAAATAGCAATAAAAACTATCAAAAATGAAATAGAAAAGAGATAAAAAAATGAAAGTGGTTATGATACTGAACTATAGTTATACAAGATGTTACCATGGGGGGAATTGGGGAATGGGCATAAGACCTCTCTGGATTATTTCTAACTGCATGTGAATCTACAATTATCTGAAAATAAAGTTTTAAAAAAGTAAACAGTATTAATGAATTGTGGAAAAACTTCACACAGCCTAATAAATGTGTAATTGTAATCACTGAAGGAGGACAGAAAAAAATATTTGAAGGAGGACAGAAAATATTCCAAGCTTCAAGAAAACTATGTATCTACAGATCCAAAAAGCTCAATGAAATCTAAGCAAAAGAGACAAAGAAGGCCAGGCATGGTGGCTCACACCTGTAATCACAGCACTTTGGAAGGTTGAGGCAAGAGGATCACCTGAGGTCAGGAGTTTGAGACCAGCCTGGCCAACATGGTGAAACCTCATCTCCACTAAAAATACAAAACTTAGCCAGGTGCAGTGGCGCATGTCTGTAATCCCAGCTACACTGGAGGCTGAGGCACGAGAATCACATGAACCTCGGAGGTGGAGGTTGCAGTGAGCTGAGATCATGCCACTGTACTCCAGCCTGGGTGACAGAGAAAAGAAAGAAAGAAAAAGAAAGAAAGAAAAGAAAGAAAAGAAAGAAAAGAAAGAAAAGAAAGAAAAGAAAGAAAAGAAAGAAAGAAAGAAAGAAAGAAAGAAAGAAAGAAAGAAAGAAAGAAAGAAAGAAAAGAAGGAAAGGAAAGAAGGAAAGAAAGAAGGAAAGAAAGAAAGAAAAGAAAGAAGAAAGAAGGAAAGAAAGGAGGAAAGAAAGGAGGAAAGAAAGAAGGAAAGACAGAAAGACAGACAGAAAGACAGACAGAAAGACAGAAAGACAGAAAGACAAGACAGACAGAAAGACAGACAGACAGAAAGACAGAAAGACAGACAGACAGAAAGACAGACAGAAAGACAGAAAGACAAGACAGACGGAAAGACAGACAGAAAGACAGACAGAAAGACAGACAGAAAGACAGAAAGAAAGACAAGACAGAAAGACACAGACAGACAGAAAGACAGAAAGACAGACAGAAAGAAAGACAAGACAGACAGAAAGACATACAGACAGAAAGACAGACAGACAGACAGAAAGACAGACAGACAGACAGACAGACAGAAAGACAGACAGAAAGACAGACAGACAGACAGA